ATCTCAGCCTCCTGAGTAGCTAGGATGACAGGCGTGAGGCACCAATGCCTGGCTTACTCCTACCTTCTTGCAAGTACATTTTCATGAAAGCTCTATTTCCATCCCTTCACTTGGAGGTTGACTACTCCTGCCTTCTTGCAGGTACATTTGTTTGGAAGCTCTTTTTCCATCCTTCTCTCAGAGGTTGATGGATATCTTGGAGAAAACAAATGGATAGATCTTCTTATTATTTTTTTGATCCAGTCTCCTGTTTTTTCTAGTAATTGGGAAATGGAGTCCATTAATGTTTAGTCATTATAGAAACGTGTCATATTTCCTGTCATTTCTCTTGATTTCTTATAGCTTGCTACTTTTCTCTTCCTGTCCTGTCCTTACTAAACAGGTCTTCTATAGACTTTTAATATGTTTCCTGGACTTTGAATGTTTTCTTCAGATTGCATACTTTCCTTTAGTATTTGTTGTAATGTTGGTTTAATGTTGATGGATTCCTTTAATTTTTGTTTGTCTTGGACGGTTTTAGTTTCACCATCAAATATAAATGATAGCTTCAGTGGATACACCAGCTTGGGTTGGCACTTCAGGGCTTGAATTATATCATTCCAGGCTCTCCTTGCACTAAGATATATCTCCTTCTTTGATTTATTAGCATTTAAAATCAATTCCTTGCTATTAAGACTAATCTTTTTACTTGGCTGTCCAAAAGGGTTTCTTCTTGGATCCTTTTCACTAGGGGATCTGTATGCTTCTGTCAGGTGGGTGGGATTTTCTCTCCATATTGGGGAACTTCTCTTTTCTTATTTGACTGGATAGGTTTTCCGTGCCTTTAGTACTGAAATGTTCCCCTTCATGGATCCCAATTATGTGTAAACTTGATCTCTTGGCCAAGTCTGCCAATTCTTGGATTTCCCTTTGATAGGTTTTGAATGTTTTTTCCCAGACTTTTGACTTTTTGTTCAAGCTCCTGTTTTATCCTCAACTCCTGATACTGTTTTCTATTTCACTTATTCTGTTACCTAGGCATTCCTCTGTGGTTTGCATTGAGAAAATCAAACCTTTTATGCTTCTGAGTTTTCTTTGTTTTTTCAGCTCTGGGTCTGGGCACTGTCCCTGAGCTCTTCAGCTCAAGGTGAGCGCTCTACAATGCCACTTCCAGGTTTCTGGTGGCTCATTGGAGATAAGGGTCTCATGGACTTTCCTGCCTAGGCTGGCATTGAACCACAATCCTCAGATCTCAGCCTCCTGAGTAGCTAGGATTAAAGGTATGAGCCACTGTTATCCTTCTGTCTTTTTTGTTGAGATCAGCTCTCATAGTGTTAACTTTGTCTTTTAATGAGTTAATTAATGCCTCTATTTTTATCTCCAACACTTTTTGGGAGCCCCAGATCTTCTCTGTCATTTCTTCTTTGCACACTTGAAATTGTTTTTGCATCTCCCCTTTTATTTCATTGGCCGATTCTGTCATCTCTTTAATGCTCCTTTTGTCATCTCTCCTTCTCTCTCACTGGGGTCCCTCCCTTGACTTTTTGGGTTTTTTTTTTGTCCTCATTATGCATGACTCTTGTCATCTTTCATTGTGATTTATGCATCTGGCCTCAGAGATTGCAAGAGCTGTGGTGTGAGCTTGGCGTGCTAACGTTTGACAGGTGGCGGCCCATGCTTGGCCTGGGCTAGCCTGCCCTGGGTGAATTAGCCTATTCTGGGTCCCCCAGCCAGCAAGCGCTTGTACAAGTGTGCTGGCCTTGCCCCAGGCCAATGAACTCTCTGCCTGGTGGGTGCTTGGTCCAATTTGGGGGAAGAACAGGTTGGGGAGGTGGGTTCAGGCCTCCAGGTTGGGCATGAGGCTTCAGGAGGAGTGGGCTTCTGCAGCTGCACAGAATTTGTCTGTGTTGACTTCAAACCAGTGAGTTTTTGCTGCCAACAGCCAGTGCTGTAGATGACCCAGGGTCTTAATGCCTCTCATTGTGAGTCCTGGTGGTCTTCCACTCTAAGCCAACAAGTGGGGGTGGGGGGGGCAAGGGTTCTGGCCTCTTTGTCTTCTTTAAGTGTGGTATCCCTTCTTGGGTGGGAGAGAGGTGTCCAAGCTCAAATCTGTGTTGCCACCAGCAGTAGTCTTCCATGGGGAAGGGGTCTCCAGCAGGGTACTCAGTGATGCTGGAGGTGGTTGTGGGCTGACCGGTGGTGATGTTAACATTCTCTGGGTCTGGGCGTTGCAGTCACATGTTGCTGGTCTGTCACTGTCTGCACTGGCCAGGCACCAGGGATGTGGAGTTTTGTGTCTGGATGCTGCAGTCTCACTGGTCAGGTCCTGGGGTCCCAGGAAGCCATAGGGCTGCTCTTGTGGCTTAATAGCCTTGTTGGCTCCAAATGAGGGTTTAGGGGAAGATGCTTCATAGATTTAGTAAATAAAAGACACATGACTACATTCTCAATAGAGAAGGAGCAAAACTGAATAGCAGTAATTCTTTATAATCATCCTTGAGAAAATGCTATTCTGGTTGTATGTGTTCCTGAGGTTTGAACTCAGAGCCTGGCACCTGCTAGGAAAGTGCTTGACACTGAGCTACCCCAAAGTCCTCATTCAAGATCTGATGAAATTCTCCATGCTAAAAACCATTTTCTTTCAGCAAATTCATCTTCTTAGAAGACTGGTCAGCAGTCTTTGCTACAGACAGCCATGGTCATTCAGTGCAGAGGCCGCCATTCTCCTACATAACTTCTGTCACATCTCTAGTCTCAGCAACCAAGTGCTCGCTTGTCCCATGAGCACCATGCTGTGCTCAGTTCTCACTTTCCCCTGTAGTTCAGTCAGTGCGGTGCATTCTTCTAAAGAGTGGTATCAGGGTGAAAGACACACAATGGTGGGGGACATCATGCCCCAGCTCCACACTATTCCCTACCCCTCTGCTGTGCACAGTCTTTCATTTATTTCAGAAGGAAAACTCACCTTTCCCTGAGTGTGCATAGAAATAATCCTCACAAGATGGTGGGACCCTTTCAAGAGCCCCACACAGGAAAACCTGCAAGGTGGGCATTTCTCCAGCAGGGCTCAACCTAAAGGCACATACTCAGAATCATCAGACTTGGTGATGTGAACTCCTTGATTCTGGACAGCCCTGCACCCTTTGCAAATATCTTGTTGTATTCTTGGCTTGGAATTCTTTTGCTGATAGGTCGGGAAGAATCCACAGTGAACAAGAGAGCAGATGGATCCCTGGTCAAGCAGAAGTAAGTATGCTCAGCCTGGATGGTTTCCTCAAAGAAATCTGTTCTGGTGTCCACTGAGTAAGGCTTGCATTAGAGTCTCTGCTGTGTACATGTCACATTTCCTGTGTTCTGCTCTTGGTGACAGCAATTCTTATAAACTGTTCACAAAACAATCATGATCAAGCCAGGCACTGGTGGCTCCCGCCTGTCATCATAGCTACTCAGGAGGCTGAGATCTGAGGATCATGGTTCAAAGCAAGCCCAGGCAGGAAAGTCCATGAAACTCTTATCTCCAAAAGACCAGCTCAAGTGGTAGAGTGCTTGCCTTGAGCTGAAGAGCTGAGGGACAGCACGTAGACTCAGAGTTCAAGCCCCACAACTGACAAAAAAGTCACGATCATGCTATACACCTCAGGCTGCCCTCAAACCCTCAAACTCACTATCCTCTGCTGGGATTAAGTAGGAAGCACTGCACTTGAAAGCTAGCCTGAACTCCTGGCGAGCAATTTTCCATCACCCTCATGTTTACATTCAGTGGAGACTGAGTTCCAAAGGCCATGCCTGGATGGACGGTGCACTGCTACACTCCCTGGCAGGCCTTCTTTTGTGATTGAAGCCTGCAATGGATAGTCAAGTTGGAACTTTGGCTGGATACCTTGCCACATGTGTCACACACATCCCGCCTCTCCCTGGTGTGTCTTGAGGTGGCGCACAAGGTGCATGTTCTGTGTGAATGCCTTCCCACACTCATTGCACTGGTAGGGCTTGAATTCTGCATGGATGGTGCGGTGGGCTGTGAGGTTAGAATGGGAATAAAAGGCTTTGCCACAGTCTGCGCACACGTATGGCCTCTCCCCAGTGTGTGTCCTGCGATGGCGTGCCAGCTGTGCATTCCGCGTGAATGTCTTCCCACACTGGGCACAGTGGTATGGTTTCACTCCAGTGTGCACAGCCTGGTGCTCAGTGAGGCTCTTGCGAGAGCTGAACGCCTTGCTGCATGTGTCACATGTGTACGGCTTCTCCCCCGTGTGTATCCTGCGGTGGCGCACGAGCTGTGAGTTCTGTGTGAATGTTTTGCCACATTGTGCGCAGTGGTATGGCCTCGCCCCAGTGTGTACAACCTGGTGCTCGGTGAGGCTCTTGCGAATGGTGAATGCCTTTCCACAGGTGTCACATGAATATGGCCTCTCCCCGGTGTGCGTCCTGCAATGAATGGCAAGGCCGGAGGCATGACTGTATGCCTTTCCACACTCGGAGCACCTGTGAGGCTTCTGGCCGCTGTGCACTGTCTGGTGTGCAGTCAGGTTGCCATGTGTGCTGAAGGCCTTGCTGCACAAGCCACAGGCATACGGCCTCTCCCCAGTGTGTGTCCTGTTGTGGCGCACAAGGCCAGATTTCCGTGTGAACGCCTTCCCACACCTGGCACAACAGTACGGCCTCTCTCCAGTGTGTGTCCTCCTGTGCACGGCGAGGCTGGAGTCCTGGCTGAATGCCTTCCCACACTCGGTGCAGCGGTGCAGCTTCACCCCAGTGTGCAGGACCTGGTGCTTGGTAAGGCCAGAGCGCACAACAAAAGCCTTGCTGCAATTTCCACATGGGTAAGGTCTCTCCCCAGCATGGCTCCTACAGTGAACAGTGAGGCTGGACAGCTGGTTGAACACCTTCCCGCACACTGGGCAGCGGTGTGGCTTTACTCCACTATGGTGTTGTTCATGAACCAAGAGATCAGAAAGCTTGGAGAAACCATTCCCACACATTCCACACTGGTAATGCTTCATGCCTCTGTGGCACTGCACGTGAACCAAGAAACAGGACCGTGTGGAGAAAGCCTTCCCACACTCAGTACAGTGGTGGAGCTTCTCCCCAGTGCGGCTCTGCCGGTGATGCACCAGGGACAAGCGGTAGCCGCATGTCTTCTCACCCTCTCGGCACTTGTAAGGCTTTTCCTGAATGTGTGCTTTGAGTTTACGTGTGCATAAGGGAGAACATGTCGGAGCATCATCACATGCATGGGCAATGTGTGTGTTCCCACTGGAGGGGCTCTCCCCAGAGCGCGACATGGGGACCCCCTCGAGGGCGGATGTCTCCACCTCAGCCCTCACCCTTGGCCCTTCACACAGGTATTGCGGGAGCCCACGCAGGGGCTCCTGAAGGGGCCGTCCCAGCCACGGGCTCATGGGCTGCTTCCTCGCATGACCCCCACTCTCCTGCTCTCCTCCGCCACTGCCCTCTTCTCTGTGGACCACAAGCACCCCTTTAGCACGGCCTTCAGTGCTGCTCCACTCCCACTCCCACTCACGCAGAGCTTTCTGGATTTCCTCGCAGGAAAACTCATCAGTGCCTCCGTCCTCATGACTTTGGGTTATTTCTCCCCTACAGCTGCCGGCATGGGGTAGTAATTCTTTAATTATATGCTTAGGAGAGGTACCTGGAAGATATAAAGTTCCATGCTGATTAATCACATAGCTAAGTATTTCATGCTAAAGGAGAGAATGCTACAGAAAAAATTACACAGGCACAGAGGAGCCATGTGAACTCTGAGCACAGAAAATCCAATATGTAAGAACACAAAAGGAATAAGATTCTTTATTATAAATGGATCATATGAAATCTACCTTATGAGAAGGTAAGCCTCATTTCAAACAACCTATGAGGAAAGCAAATCTCACTGACAGGAACACAGGACTTTCCCCTGGGTCCCACTACATACTTAACTCACAAAAGCCCTATGGTGATATTGTAACCAAAGGGAAAAAATGCCTATTACAACATACTGAATATGTACAAATTTATGCCACATATCATATAATATGTTGTAATGGTTCAGAGCCCAAAGCAGTTTACAGAATAACTGGCAAGTTTGAATTTCAAAGCAGGGGGAAGAATTGCAATACAATTTCAAAAAAGGGAGGAATTCAATACAATGCCAGAAAAGAAACCAAAACCAAAAAAGCCTGGACTACATGCTATAAACAGCCTACATATATTAGTAGTGAACAGACTTTTAACATGAACAAGAGGTATCTAGCACTTATGTTGCACAATACATGCTGAGTACATTTAGATGCCGGTAACAAAACATACAAACAAAAAAGTAACCCATAGCTGGGCACCCGTGGCTCACACCTGTAATCCTAGCTACTCAGAAGGCTGAGATCTGAGGATCGAGGTTCAAAGCCAGCCTGGGCAGGAAAGTCCGTGAAACTCTTATCTCCAATAAACCACTAGAAAATCAGAAGTGGCGCTGTAGCTCAAGTTGTAGAGCTCTCGCCTTGAGCTGAAGAGCTGAGTGACAGCGCTCAGGCCCAGAGTTCAAGCCCCACAACCAAAAAAAAAAAAAAAACAAAAACCATGATAAACTGATAGGCTATTTCCTCTTTTTTTGGGGGGGGGGGTCCGGTCATGGGGCCTGAACTCTGGGCCTGGGCACTGTCCCTCAGCTCTTCAGCTCAAGGCTAGTGCTCTACCACTTGAGCCACAGCGCCACTTCCAGCTTTTTTCATTTTGCTTATGTAGTGTTGAGGAATCGAACCCAAGGCCTCAGGCATGCAAGGCAAGTGCTCTGCCACTGAGCCACCTTCCCAGCCCGAGCTATTTCCTCTTAAAAAAAAAAATACAGGGGGGAGGATGGGAAGGGATGGGAAGGGGAAACAAAGGAGGAGGCTACAATGCTTGATAAGAAATGTATTCATTATCTTGCCCACGTAATTGTAACCCCTCTGTACAGTATTTTCACAATAAAAAAAAATACAGGGCTGGGAAGGTGGCTCAGTGATAGAGTGCATGCCTTGCATGCATGAGGCACTGTGTTCGATTCCTCAGTACCACATAAGCAGAAAAAGTTAGAAGTGGCGCTGTGGCTGTCGCTCAAGTGGTAAAGAGCTAGCCTTGAGCTGAAGAGCTCCAGGACAGCAACAGGCCCAGAGTTTATGTCCCACAACCAACCAACCTCCCCCCCCCCCCCCGCCCCGGCCAAAAAAAATGAGGCAGGCCACTGGTGGCTCAGGCCTGTAATCCTAGCTAGTCAGGAGGCTGAGATCTGAGGATCACGGTTCAAAGCCAGCCCAGGCAGGAAAGTCTGTGAGACTCTTATCTCCAATTAATCTCCAGAAAACTAGAAGTGGCATTGTGACTCAAGTGGTAGAGCACTTGTCTTGAGCTGAAGAGCTGAGGGACAGTGCCCAGGCCCAGAGATCAAGCCCCATGACAAAAAAAAAAAAAAAAAAATGTGTTGTAGAAAAAGCAATAAATACAACAAGTGGAATGTCCATACAGCTCTAGGTGTGGATCTGAAGGAAGTGAAGTCAGGGTATGAAAGAGATGCAAGGGTACTGCACACCCACCATTAGCTGGAGAGCCAGCCTAGAGTGCTTCAATGGACACAGAAAATGCAGTGGAGACACAGAGTGGCATATTACTCTGCATAACAGGGCACAAGTGTGGAAATTCTAAAGTCTTTTAGGGCTCACAGTAGAGACACTTTGGTTTTCTACAGAAAACCACTCCCATCCAGGTTCCCCAGCTACATCTCTGTACATCTGAGCTCTTACCTGCACTCACACTTTTGGCGCCTTTCCAACCATTCAGCTCTCCTGGAGTTGTCACGTGGCTCTGTGCCACCCAGGGCTCTTCCTCAAGCTCCAATGGCAAAATCACACTCACGCTGGGAGGAGAGACTCCTGTTTATAGAAAGACAATGTGCTGTGGCTTTTCTGAAATCCCCAGTCCCACATTTATGGGAAAAGGGGACATCACACATGGATGCATCACACATTCAGCAGACTACCTCCATGTGAACACTTCAGAGGACACTCTAATGTGCAGACAGCAACGCAAGAACTACTGAGTCAGAAGCACAAGGAAATAGATACAAAGTCAGCTCTGGGCTTAGTGTGGTGTCATCTGTGTGTCATCCCAGCACTCAGAAGTTCAGGGGCAAGTTTAAGGGCATCCAGGGCTACAAAGTGGGACTTTTTCTCAAAAAAAAAAAAAAAAATGATGAGGAAGAGGAAGAGAAGGTAGAGGAGAAGAAAGGAAGGAAGGAAGGAAGGAAGGAAGGAAGGAAGGAAGGAAGGAAGGAAGGAGGAAGGAAGGACTGCCATAGTGCTTGATATGTAGCTCAGTGATGAGAGGATCTGCCTAGCATGTACAAAGCTCTAGAGAGGGAAGGGAAGGGAAAAGGAGAAGAGTGGAGAAAAGAAGGGGAAAAGGTGAGGGGAAAAAAAGAACAAAGGAGAGCAAGAGACAAGCCTGCAAAAGCTGACATGCACAGGTGCTCACTTAAGCTGTGGGACATAGGAGGCAGGACAAAAGAAGGTTATTAAAGTCCGAAGGCCACATTAGCATGTTTCTGTCCCTGAGTTGGTAGACCTTTATGTCTAGTCAAGGAACGTGGGGCTTTCCAGGCAGCACTCAAGGGAAACCAAGGCCAAGAGCAGAACTCCCAACTTGTGCAGGGAGGGGTGCTCACCCACAGAGACCAGGTTCCTGTAGGTGTCCAGCATGACGTCCCTGTACAGAGCGTGCTGAGCCGGGGTCAGGCACCGCCACTCCTCCCGGGTGAAATCCACTGCCACATCCTCAAGTGTCAACTGTCCACAAGGAGAAAATCCAAAACCATTTCACACACAGTCCAGACTCAGAAAAAATATTAGACAGAATTATAATCAATGCCTACCATGACAAAGAATTCAACACAAGAGGGAAACTTCAGGATTTTACAGTTTGAAAAGTTTCTTTGATATGATACCCAAAGCAAACAAAAAACAAAAAAACAAAAAAAAAATGACATGGAATTGTACATCCCAGCATTCTTCAGAGTTAGTGGGGAAGTATGATGAACACGCCTAGAATCCTAACCAGTCCAGAAGCCAGAGATCTTAGGATCAGGATTCAAAGCCAACTGGAGCAGGAAAGCCCATGAGCATCTTTCCTCCAATAAACTACCAAAAAGGCCAGAAATGGAGCTGTGACTCAAGTGGTAGAGCAGCAGCCTTGAGCAAAAGAGCTCAGGACAGCACCCAGGCCCTGAATTCAAGATGCAGGGCTGGGTGCTTGGTGGGGAGGGAGACCAAAAGCTGAAAAGAAAACCAGCAGAGAGATTTCAGCAAGAACACAGGAACACTTGGTGGGTGATGCTCTTCTGTGCCCACACTCAGTGGAGGGGACAGGGCTGAGGGAAGGTGTGGGGGATGTGAGCACATGTGGCAGGCAGGTGTCAGCACAGCCAGTGCCCAGGCCAGCTCTTTGCACAGGAAGGAGACGCCACATGGCTTTACCTGAGTCACAGCCGCCATCCCTGCTCCTTGTCTTTCCTCTTCCTCCTCCCTGGGCTTCCTCCTCAGGCAATACCACTTTCCAGAAGTCAGTCCTGAGTGCTGAAAATATCCTGTTTAATGCTCACATACAACAACACCCTCCCTGTGTCCCGGCCCCAGCCCAGGGAGGACCTCACCATGGGGGAAGATGGTCCTGGGCTCATTCCATACCACTCATGGGGTGATGGGGAATGCAGGTCCTGGGGCTTGAACTCAAGACCTGGGCACTGTGCCTGAGCTTGTTTACTCAAGGCTGGTGCTCTACCACTTGAGTCACAGCCCCACTCTGGCTTTTTGGTGGTTAATTGGAGCCAAGATTCTCCTGGAGCGGTTGGACGTGTGGAGGGGTTGAAGCACCAAAGCTACCGAGCAAAAAAAGCATCAGACACCAAGTTTGAGTCCCAGTCTGTGGTCTAAAAACAACAACAACATATGTATGGGACTTTCCTGCCCAGGCTGACTTCAAACTTCCATCCTCACACCTCAGCCTCCTGAGTGGCTAGGCTTACAACCATGGACCCTGCTCCCTCTACTCTCCTTGTAAGCAGAGACCCCTCTTCCCCACAGACCAAATGGCTCTGCACAAATGCAAATTGTTCTCCTCTCCTTTCATTCGGAAGTGCTCCCACATTTCCTGTACCCCGCCACCTATGTGGGAATTCGGGGCTGGAGGGCCGCGGCTGGGGCCGGGAGTCGTGGCCTTTGTCCAGACGACTTGGCCTAGGGCCCGGAGGCCGGAGAGGCGGGTCGGGTCCCAGACCCCAAGCCGGGCCCGGAGGACCGAGTGGAAGACGGTGCCAGGGGCCGGCTGTCCAAGAGGGCTGGGAAGAGCCGCGGCCGCGCCCACCCCGCCACCCTCGCCCGGCTCGCAGCGACGCGGGGTCGCTGGGGTCCGAGCGCCGCGGCCGCGCCGGGCCGGTGGAAGTCAGGAAGGACCGGCCGGAGACCCCAGGCCGCCGGACAGGAGAGCCGCGCGGGGGCTCCGGATACCCGGGACGCAGACTTACTCCTCCCGGAGAAACACGCAGTCCGCACCGCGAGCTCCCCCTCACACCAACCGACTCCTGGTCTGGCGGGTAACTGCGCACGCAGTGACAGGGGGCGGGGCAAACACGGAGGGAAACGTGAGCTGGGGGCGGGCTAGAGGGGAGGGCCAGGAAGAAACCAATGAAAAAGTGGAACGGGCATGACCAGAACAAAACCCAGTATATAGGACCAGTACTGAGGGTTGGTGGGCGGGGAATAAGACTGGTCTGGGCCAAGAGAGAGCTAATAGGTGAGGCCATCCTTGACTGACAGTGGCAAAGGGGGTGGAGCCAGGGAGACTCTAGGCCTCAGAGGAGGCTGCCAGGGCAGGCCTGGGGCTGAGGCGGGCCTGGCGCTGGGGGCGGAGTCAGTGTGTGGAGGAAGCCCGGTGCTGGGGGCCAAGCTGTGCAGAAATGAATAAAACGCATATGGATAGAAATCGTCAATTGCTCAGTAATTCTTTTCTTTTTAAAAGGTTATTTTATGGACTAAAACATGGATTCTGAATAGAGCAGCAGTAAAGTTTAACAGCAGCAGTTCTGTATAACCATCCTCAAGAAAATGCTATCCTGCTCGCGCGTGTCCTGAGGTTTAATCTCAGGAGTTTGGCAGCTGCTGGGAAAGTCTCCAACACTGAGTGACCTACCGCTGAGCCACCTTCCCAGCCCCCGTGGAGAATACCTCCCGCGTGGATGGCTCTCGCCTTGCTGCCCTCTGGTGGGGCTTCTTTTGGGTGTGAAGCCTGCGTGCAATGGCACACGAAATTGGAGCGCCGGCTGCACACCATACCGCATGTCACACATGTAAGGGCCCTTGCCGATGTGTGTTTGTTGGTGGCGCACAACTTTTGTCTTCCAGAAAAATGCCTTCCTGCACTCTGCACTGGTGGGGCTTGTGTCCTGTGTGGATGGCAAGGTGGCTGTGGCGTTCTGTGTGGGATTTAAATGGACTCTCACCGGTGTGTGTCCTAAGGTGGCACGCGAGGTCATTTTTCTGTGGGAATGCCTTCCCACACTGGGTGCAGCGGTGCGGCTTCCAAACACCTTCCCACAATCCTCACACTTATGTGGCTTGCATCCAGTGTGAACAGTCTGGTGTGCTTCAAGGCAGCCATGCGTGCTGAAGGCCTTGCCACACACGCACTCCAGCATGTCCCCAGTGTACATCCTGTTGTGCCTGAATGCCTTCCCGCACTTGGCGCACCTGTGGCGTTTGAGGCCAGTGTGCACAGCCTGGTGTGCTATGAGGGTGGCACGCTTGCGGAAGGCCTTGCCATACTTTTCACATGCATATGGCTTCTCCCCAGTGTGCAGCCTGCGGTGCACAGTGAGCTGCTTGGACTTCCGGAATGCCTTTCTGCACTCAGAATGCAGGTAGGGCTTCTTGCCACTATGGCTTCACTTGTGAACCATGAGAGAGGAATGTGAGGAGAAAGCCTTCCCGCACTCTGCACAGGGTTGGCGCTTCACACCACTATGGCTTTGCTCATGAACCAAGAGAGGAGAACGTGTGGAGAAAGCCTTCCCACATGTGGCACAGAGGTGCAGATTCTCCCTGGTATGGCTCAGCTGGTGACGCTCTAGGGCCATGAGGTAGCTGAACACCTTGCCACACTCGCTGCACTCATAACACTTTGCCCCAATGTGTGCTTTGGGTCTATGCCTGAGTAACAGATGGAGGTCTCATCACCTGCAGGGACAATGTGTGTATTCCCACTGGAGGGACTCCCCCAAGGGCGTGACATGGGGGGCCTGGCAAGGGCGGACGACTCCACCTCAGTCCTCACTCCTGGCCTTTCACACAGGTACGGCAGGAGCCTGCGCAGGGGCTCCTGGAGGGGCCGTCCCAGCCACGGGCTCATGGGTTACTTCCCCACGTGACCCCCACCCTCCTGCTCTCCTCCGCCATTTAGCACAGCCTTCAGCGCTGCTCCACTCCCACTCCCACTCACGTGGAGCTTTCTAGACTTACTTGCAGGAAAACTCGTCAGTGACTCTGTCCTCATGACTTTGGGGTATTTCTGCCCTACCACTGCCTCTGCTGGGTGGAAATTCTTTAATTATATATCTAGGAGAGGTACCTGCAAGATATAGAGCTCCCATCTGATTAATCATAGAGTATTTCATGCTGGAAAACAGAATACCATGGCAAAAATGACAACACACACACACACACACTGAGGAGTCCTATTTATACTGAGAAACATAAAATCCAATATTTAGGAACACAAAAAGAATAGGATTCTTTTATTGCAAAGTGGATCACATGGAATCCAATTTAAGCTAAGCCTCATTTCAAACAACCTGTGAGAAATACTTACATACTCAGCAAGTTTGTGGACAAGAAGACAGGATTCCAGGAAGACAGGATTCCCCCCGACCCTCCCCGTGACAGGGTCTCATGGTACACCTAACTCACAAAAGCCATATGGTTATATCATAACCACAGACGAAAAATGCCTGTTTACAACATACTGACTGTGTATAATTAATGCTACATATCACACAATGTGTTATGATGGTTCAGGGCCCAAAAGCAGTTACAAAAGGCATTAACTGGCAATTTTCAATTGCAAAGCAGAGGCTGGGGAAAAAGAGGAAGAATTCAATATAAGAATGCCAGAAGAGGGCTAGGAAGGTGGCTCAGTGGTAGCGCTTGCCTTGCATGCTTGAGGCCCTGGATTCGATTCCTCAGCACCACATAAGCAGAAAAAAAAAGCTGGAAGTGGCGCTGTGGCTCAAGTAGTAGAGTGCTAGCCTTGAGCTGAAGAGATGAGGGACAGCGCCCAGGCCCAGAGTTCAGGCCCCACCACCAGACCCAAAAAAAAGAAAAAGAATGCCAGAAGCTGGGTGTGGTGGCTCATGCCTGTTATCCTAGCTATTCAAGAGACTGATATCTGAGGACCACCATTAAAAGCCAGCCTGGGCAGAAAAGTCCATGAGACTCTCATCCCTAACAAACCACTCAGAAAACCGGAAGTGGCGCTGTGGCTCAAGTGGTAGAGTGCTCACCTTGAGCTAAAGAGCTCAGGGACAGCGCCCAAGCTCAGAATTCAAACCCCATGACTGATTAAAAAGAAAAAGAAAAGAAAAAGCTGGGCACTGGTGGCTCATGCCTGTAATCCTAGTTACTCAGGAGGCTGAGATCTGAGGATCACGGTTCAAAGCCAGCCCGGGCAGGAAAGTCCATGAGACCCTTATCTCCAATTAAGCACTAGCACACCAGAAGTGGCACTGTTGCTCCAGTGGTAGAGTGCTAGCCTTTAGCTGAAGAGCTGAGGGACAGCAGCCAGGCCCAGAGTTCAGGACCCACAACCAACAAAAAAGAAAAAAAACACACACCTGGAATATGTGCTATAAACTGCCTTCACCCCGCTCACAGCAAATAGATTTTAACATGAACAAGAGATGTCTAGCACTTACACTAAACAATACAGGCTGATTACATTTAGATGATATTCAAGTTAATAAAAAATGAAGAGTAACCCATGATAAAATAAACAAGTAATTTCCTCTTTAAAAAGAAACAAATAAAAAGAAATTGTGTTGCAGAAAAATAACAAAATATAAGTGGAATGTCCCACCACCTAGCTCTAGTTGTGCATCTGAAGGAAATGAAGTCAGCATATAAAAGACATGGCTGGGGCTAGGTGCTGGGGGCTGAGGAGGCTGAGCTCTGAGGATCACGGTTCAAAGCTAGCACAGGAAGGAAAGTCTGTGAAACTCTTATCTTTAATAAACTACTCAGGGGCTGGGAAGGTGGCTCAGTGGTAGAGCGCTTGCCTTGCATGCATGAGGCCCTGGGTTCAATTCCTCAGCACCACATGAGCAAAAAGAAAAAAGCCGGAAGTGGCGCTGTGGCTCTAGTGGTAGAGCGCTCGCCTTGAGCTGAAGAGCTGAGGGACAGCGCCCAGGCCCAGAGTTCAGGCCCCACGACCCGACCCAAAAAAAATAAATAAATAAACTACTCAGAAGAGACACTGGGGTACTGCACACCCACCATTAGCTGGAGAGCCAGCCTAGAGTACTTCAATGGACACAAGGAATACAGTGGAGACATAGAATGGCATATTACTCTGCAGGACAGGGCACAAGTGGGGATATTCTAAAGTCCTTAGGACTCACAGCAGTGACACTTTAGTTTTCCTACAGAAACTCATGCCCAGGTTCCCCTGCTCCATCTCTGCACACCTGAGCTCTTACCTGATCTCACATCTTTGACTCCTTCCTAACCATTCAGCTCTCCTAGAAGTGTCATGTGGCTCTGTGCCACCCAGGGCTCTTTCCTGAGCTCCAACAGTGAAAGCACACTCACGCTGGGAGGGAAGACTCCTGTTTATAGAAAGACAATGCACTGCCGGGTGCCATGGCTCATGCTTGTAATCCTAGCTACTCAGGAGGCTGAGATCTGAGGATCACGGTTCCAAGTCAGCCTGGGCAGGAAAGTCCATGAGACTCTTATCTCCAATAAAGCACCAGAAAACCGGAAGTGGCGCTGTGGCTCAAGTGGTAGAGCAGAGCGCTCGCCTTGAGCTGAAGAGCGCAAAGACAGCGCCCAAGCCCAGCGTTCAAGCCCCGTGACTGACAAAAAAAAAAAAGAAAGAAAGACAATGCTCTGTGGCCTTTCCGGAATCCCCAGTCCCACACTTACAGGGAAAAAGAGACATCACACATGGATCAAAGGATAGTTCACACATTCATCATACTGCCTCCATTTGAACACTTCAGAGGACACTCTAATGTGCAGACAGCAACGCAAGAACTACCCAGTCAGAAGGATGAGGAAATGGATACAAAGACTGCCATGAGCTGAGTGTGGTGTCATCTGTGTGTAATCCCAGCACTCAGAGGATCAATGGCAAGTTCAAGGCCAGTCAGGGCTACAAAGTGGGACCTTTTCTCAGAAAAAAAAAGCAGGGAGGAGGAGGAAAAGGAGGAGGAAGAAGAAAGGAAGAGAGGCAGAGACACCTGAAAGGAGGAAGGGAGGAAGGAGAAGGAAAGAAGGAAAGAAGGAAGGAAGGCAGACAGGAAGGGAGGAAGGAAGGGATGCAGAGAGGGATGGAAGGAGGTCTTCCATTGTACCTGCCGTACAAAGCTCTAGAGAGGGAAGGGAAAGGAAAGGGAGGAGAATAGAGAAAGGAAGGGAAGAAGAGGAAGGAAAAAAAGGAACAAAGGAGAAAGGGAGACAAGCCTGCCATAGCTGACATACACACAAACTCACTTAAAACTGTGGGACACAGAAGTGGCCCATCGGAGCAGGACAAAGGATGGGTGTGAAAGTACTGAGGCCATGTTAGTATGTTTCTATCTCTGAATCCAGAGAGCCTTTACATCTAGTCATGGAACTTGGAGCTCTCCAGGCATTTAGGGGAAACCAAGGCCAAGAGTAAAACTCTGATTTATGCAGGGAGGGGGTGCTCACCAAAGGAGATCAAGTTCCCAAAGGTGTCCAGCACGACGTCCCTGTACACAGCGCGCTGAGCCGGGGTCAGGCACCGCCACCTCTCCCGGGTGAAATCCACCACCATGTCCTCAGATGCCAACTGTCCTGAAGGAAAAATCCAAAAGCATTTCACACACATACACATCCATGGACTCAGAAAATGGATTACATGGAATTATAATCCGATGCCTACCGTGACAAAGCAATCAACATGCCAGGGATAGGGAAAAACTTCAAGATTTTACAGTTTATAATGGTGTCTTTGGTTTGACATGGAAAGAAGGGAGGGAAAGAAGGAATGGGACTTCCCTAGTGCTTGAGATGGCACACAATGATAAGCTACATGAAATTGCACATCCAGGCATTCTTCTGAGAAAGTGAGGAAGTATGATCGTGTTAAAAAGAACCCAGCCAGGGAAGGTGGCTCAGTGGTAGAGTGCTTGCCTTGCATGCATGAGGCCCTGGGTTTGATTCCTTAGCACCACATAAGCAAAAAGAAAAAAGCCGGAAGTGGAGATGTGGCTCAAGTGGTAGAGCGCTAGCCTTGAGCTGAAGAGCTGAGGGACAACGCCTAGGCCGAATTCAAGCCCCGAGACTGGACCAAAAAAAAAAAAAGAACACAGCCAGGCACCAGGGCCCACATCTGGAATCTTAGCCACTCAGGATGCTGACATCACCCAGGTCCTGAAATCAAGCCCCAGGACTGCGGAGGCAATAAAAGAGAAAACCCAAAGCCGAAAAGAATACCAGCAGAGAGGTTTCAGCAAGGACACTGGAACTCTTGGTGGGCGTGTGCCCATGCCCAGTGGAGGGGACAGGGCTGAGGGAAGGTGTGGGGGATGTGAACACACGTGGCAGGCAGGTGTCAGCACAGCCAGTGCCCAGGCCAGCTCTTTGCACAGGAAGGAGACGCCACACGGCTTTACCTGAGTCACAGCCGCCATCCCTGCTCCTTGTCTTTCCTCTTCCTCCTCCCTGGGCTTCCTCCTCAGGCAATACCACTTTCCAGAAGTCAGTCCTGAGTGCTGAAAATATCCTGTTTAATGCTCACATACAACAACACTCTCCCTGT